CACTAAACATCGTGACGTATTTCTCTACATCTGATGGTAAACATTCCATGAACTCTGCTACCACTACCACACACAAAGCTGAAATAATGATAATTTATCTTGGCCTTTGAATATCATCTCCTTGAAGCTAATATAATTTCTTAATTTTGTGATTTATTTATTATTATTATTATTATTATTATTGGTTTTATGAGACAGGGTTTCTCTGTATTGTTTTGGAGGTTGTCGGTCCAGCCTGGCCTTGAACTCACAGAGTGCCTCTGCCTCCCGAGTGCTGGGATTAAAGGTGCACACCACCACCGCCCGGCTGTGATTTATTTGTTAAAAAAGAACTGTTGTGCCTACTACACATAAACAAATATGCATGTGACAGACCTGTATTGTAACAACACAGATTGTGTAGGCAGTGTTCAGTTTGTCAGTTCACTGTCCAGGAAATCAGTTTGGGACCCAGGCTGAGAATGGAAACATCAACCCACAGGGCAGTGAATGGACTTGGAAGCTGGGATAGAGAAACAGAATGGGCCTGAGTGGGGTCTAGAAAAGCATCAGTTAGCCCTCAGTCCACCCCAGATGCTAGATTTCCCACCACACATCAGGGTCCCAGGCTGCTGTGGTATAAGGAGAGACTTTGAATATCTTAATTACCCCCCCCCCCCAAATTACACCAGAGGATTGACAGGCCAGGAGCAAGTCTTGCAGCACTAAGTGTCCAGTGTTTCCTTGAGAACAAAGATGTTGCAAGCAAGAGGAAATGCTGCCTGCACCTTCTCCTTTCGGGAGGCACGTGCTCACACTTTCCAGAAACAGTTCCTGAGTAACATGCTCAGAGCTGCAGGGCAGAGACAAAGCTGCCTGCGCGTGTTGTGTCTCCTAGATCAGGGTCCGCTGTAGTAAAAAGAGGTGTGAATGCAGCTCGGAGCTCACCTCCAACAGTGTGGACCACAACCTATGAGATCTGAGTCCCAGGAAGCCACGGAGATGACTTGGCCCAGGCCAAGTCAGTTTCGTATGCAGATGAGCCCAAGAGAGGAGGCAGAGGCATGCCTTCAAACGGAGCCAAGGAGGGAGCTAAGGGTCTTGTGTCCTCACCCCTGAACAGTAGAGGCATTTGAGAGGGGGAGCAGGGCATGCACACTGGCACTGTTAAAGCCGAGTATCTAAAGGCTGCTGGGTTTGGGTTTATGTATTGGTTAGTTCCTGCCCTAGTTAACTTTAGTTGTCCTCTTGAGGCAGCCTAGAGGTGTCTGAGAGGAAAGTCTCAACTGAGGGCTTGCCCAGATCAGTGGCCTATGGGCATGTCTTGACTGTTAATTGATGTGGAGGGCCCAGCACACTGTAGATGTCACCATTCCTTGGACAGGTGATCCTGAATTGTATAAGAATGCTCACTAAACATGGGATTGTAGCCAGCAAGCAGAGTTCCTCCACGGTTTCTGCTCCAAGTTCCTGCCCTGACTTCCCTCAGTTAGGAACTGAGGCTTGAAAGTATAAGCCAACTCAACCCTTCCCTCTAAGTTGCTTTTGCTCAGAGTATTATATTACACCAACAGAAAGGAAACGGTTACAGTTGTTTTTGAGACAGGGTGTCACTGTGTAGCTCATACAGGCCTCGAACCTGAGATCTCCTTCCCTTGCCTTCCAAGCACTGGAATTACAAACCGAGTCACATGGGACTTAGTGCTGGTGTTTCTGTTCGCCATAGAAATCCACAGCACAGCTGTGGGAATATCTGACTTAACACAAAACACACCCCTGCCCATTGCAGATTGATGCACACAAACTGCCCAGAAATCCGCTGACTCATGGTCCTCAGACACTGGGGTCAGTATTATTTGGGAGCCTGCTAGAAATGCATCTCTCCCATCACCATCCTTCCCTGTGCCCTCCACCCTCTGTAACCTCTTTTCTGCTTTTGTGTCACATGATCCCTATTGCCCCTCCTTCCTCAACACCTCTGTCCCCTCTAACATAAACATACTCCTTTTAGCTTCATAGCCAATACCCACACTCGCCCTCTCTCTCTCTCTCTCTCTCTCTCTCTCTCTCTCTCTCTCTTTCTCTCTCTTGGTTTTTCAAGACAGGATTTCTCTGTATTGTTTTGGAGGCTGTCCTGGAACTCACTCTGTAGACCAGGCTGGCCTTGAACTCACAGAGTGCTGGGATTAAAGGCGTGCGCCACCAATGCCCGGCCTTCGCCCTCTCTTATATATGTATGCTAACTACATAAAGGCATGAAAAGCTACATCCACCCCAAGACAGAACATGTACTACTTATCTTTCTGGGTCTGGATCACCTCATATAATGTAATTCTTTCAAGATCCAGCTACTTTTCTCCAAATTTTATTACTTCATTTTTCTCTAAAGTTGAATAAAATTTTATTGTGTAACAAGGGTTTTCACGAAGCTATGAATAGCATCTCCTCCAGGAATAGAGTCTCCCAGTGGGGGAAATACAAAAGGATGGGCATTTCTCTGCTCAGAGCAGTGCTCAGGGTGGCCCACGTGCTGCTCTTGGCATAGGATGCTGCTCTCTGGCTATCATGTCCCAGGCCAGGCTGGGCTCACCAGCTCAAAGCAACTGGAGGACCGCTGCATTGTCCCTGCCAGTCACTCAGCAGGCAAGGCCAGGTTAGAGGACCACTTTCTGTTTAGCTGAACACAGTGGCTTGATTTTCAGAAATGGAGGTGCCAAATTTACTGTGTATTCATGTGGAATCTGCATTACAAACTAGTCCCTTGTAACCAATATTAGTGAATCATGTATGATGGAATTGTCTTTGGGGCTCTGCTCATATCTGGCCCTCTGTAGGCTATGGAGTAAATATTCAATAAGTGTGGAGTAAACTAAATCAGAATCACTTTGAGTGGTGGGTTCCCTGTGCTGTGTGTCCTAGCCATTGTCATATGTTGAGTGGTGTGTGTGTGTATGTTCATGTGCATGTAAGTATGTGTGTGTGTGTGTGTTCATGTGCAAGTAAGTATATGTGTATGCATGCCTGTGTGCATGTGGAAACCAGAGTTAGATGTTGAGGGTCTTCCCCAAAGGCTTCCCACTTTATTTTTCGGACTAACCTGGAGCTTGTGGATTAGTCCGGGTTGACTGGCCAGCAAGCTCCAAGGATTGTCTCATCTTTGCCTCCCTAGTTCTGAGATTACAGGCACCAAACGCCACATCTGACTTTTACAGGGGTAGATGGGATTGAACTCATCAATTCGCATGCTTACACAGCAAGCAGCTCATCAACAGAGCCATTTCCCCAGCTTTGGTGTGTACTAATTCACGTGTATTGTGGTGCCAACCATACAGCCACCTGGCTTATGCAGGGGATTATTAAAGATTCGATAAAGGAAGAAGCTGACGGGGGACGGGGGTGCTCTGATCCATGCACTGTCTTCACAGCACTGCACGTGCAAATCCTCAGAATGGCTCAACTCCTGCCAGGTTTATGTCTTTGGCTGTGCTTAGTTGATGGGGCTCCAGGAGACCCAGAGGCTTCTTAGATCCTCACAGTGTGACAAGGCAGGTCGGGATTTACCTTTGACAAGGTGCTAGGCTTCCATGCAGTGAAGGAGCAGCCTTGAGCCTCTTCAGAGCTGAAGACTTTGTCTCATCCGCTGTATCTGCCTGTTTGCAAACATCCTGCCATGCCCCCACCTCCTCACCCCTTCCTCCAACTTCCAGCCATTTCCTGTTTTAAAATAATTCGATGTCTCTGGAATGATGCAAGTCAGCCTCCAGGCAGTAGCGGTCTTCCCCAGAGGTTCCCCGAGAGGTCTCAGAAGGGAGTTGAGTGGGTGAGGACAAACACAGCTTCCCACAGCAACAGGAAGTGGAAGCAGATGAAACAGTAGTTGTAAACCCCAGGGTACCTTCAGCTCTGCCTCTCCAATTAGCTACTATTGTGCTCAGATGCTTGGAGTCTCTTCAGGCCCCTGGCTGCTGTTGGTAACTGTCTAATCAATGGGGATAACACTGCAGATTACAGTAGGGTGGAGACAGAGATGGGGACCAGAGCCCTAGTGAGCACTAGGTATTGTTAAATTAGAAAGGGCACCCACTTAGTAAAAGCTGAGGGATGCTCAGTGCTCCTAGGGGAGTTCCTGGGCTAAAGGTTGAAAGGCGGCTGAATGAGCAGCCCTGGTGCTGAGACAGCAAAGGTTACAGGACAAGCTTTGTATTCGCTAGAAGTCACCTAAAGAAAATGCTCTGTGTGGGGCCCCAAAATTCCAACAGTAAGCTTGGGTGAGGGTAGCAGGTCCCCAAGGAAAAGACAGGATCACAGTAGTTTATCGCCAAAGTGCCCTGGAAAGGAATTCAAATCTAGTTAACTGCCAGACTATCCTTTTCTGAGTGCAGTTATTAGGCCAATCACAGTGTCGGGGAAGGGACTCCCAGCAACTTGATGGAACTGTGTCTGTCTTTCTCCGCACAGCAGACAGAGCAGTTGAGGAATAGTCTTATAGTTACTGAAATATGTTTGCCTCTGCATTGTCTGTACCTGGGAGAGACCCCTCGGCCTTCCTCCTCACTGCCTTCCCTCAGGGGCTACTCAAGGGCTACCCAGGCCCCTTCCTGTCTCTGCATGGACCCACTGGGGCCAGTGATAGAGGACCTCCTGTCACATAAGCCTGGTCTGAACCTAGCTGGTCTCTGCAGCACCCCTTACCTCACGTGCATCACCATCCCTCATCAATGTGTAGACGGCTGGGTGGAGGGAGCAGTGACTTGAGGCTTGAGTGACCAAGGGAACAGATGAATGGAACGAGATGCCACCCCCGTGAGATCAAACAGCTGTGGGACATGTTTCTTTACACAGGACTATGACACTGAGGTCTCATCCCAGTTCCTGCTCTCATTGGGCTACTCTGTCCAGCCAGGTCATGGCACAAACTTCAGTCCCCAAGCTCGGGACTGTTCCTGTGGTGATTGTGGCAGACATCTTAGGAGGCAGGAGGCTAGAGCCCCCCACTGACCCATTCTCCTTTTCATTTACAGATCATCAAGGAGGTCCCTCCGCCCCCTGTTGAGGAGAGTGAGGTAAGTGGCCCAAGCAGGGTGCCTGGGGCGGGAAGGTGACAGAGTGGGGCAGCATTGGCCGGTTATGTAGCCCCTTGCGAGCAGGGCTGGGCGCCACTACATGTGGAACAGAGTCTTTGGGCCTTTCCTAACCAGGGTGAATATGAATTGAGCAACACAGGGAGCCAGAGACCGGGTGATTTCTTTCCACAAAAACAAATTTTAAAGTGCATACATCCGTCTGCTCTATTGTTTTCAAGGATTTGGGAAGATTTTCTATTGAGGCGATGTATTTGACTGTTGGCTTTTTTCTGTGCTTAGATCCAGGAAGTCTCACATGCTGCATACACTCCCCACCTAAGCCACAGACAGCCTGAATCTTCCTCCCCACTCCCTTTTGGGAGACAGATCCTCATGTGGTACAGGTTGGGCTTGAACTCATGTTGCACCTGCCTCAACCTCCCCAGTGCTGGGATTGCAGACATGTCTCACCACACTCAGTATAAATGTTTTTTATCCGTACAATGAACAATGTGGGGTTTTAAGGGTCTAATTTTTCCTCTGAAGCGTATTAGAATTCTTGTCTTCCTGCAGACATACACCTCACATGTATAGGTTATGGCAAGTTTGCCACACTCTGCAAATAATCGCTGCCTCTAAGGCTGGTGCCAAGTATCCCATTTTTCTTTAATTTGAAGCAGTATTACATAAAATCTGCCAGGTGGTCATGAATCTATGCTGGAGCAGGATATACTAATACCCTGGCCTCACTCTCAAATCCTCACGGTCTACAGACAAACTCTCAGACTCTTCCACTCAGTGGGCCAGGAAGCCTCCGTGGTGCAAGGGCGGCTCTAATAAACTAGCAGAGGTGTTAACAGCTGCTGGTAGGCGGGAGTTCCCAGCAAATGGCTTTCCCAGCCTGGGGCAGCAGGATCCTTAGGAGTAACACTACCAGGGTAGAAGCCCTAGATTTGAAAACTTACTGGGACAAAGAGGTGCTAAGATGGGGTTTCAGGTTCTTAATTGGGTCCCTGTAATCTGTCCGTATGTACCTCAGATACCACCTCTCAGCCGTCCCTGTCCCAGCTCAGCCTCCCTACACAGAAAGAAAGATGATTAGGTTTAAAATTCCATGTGTCTCTCATGTGCTGAATGGTGCATGAATGCTAAGAGACTTAATAGCTGCAATCAATTAAAGCGCATCTTGCAGGAATGCTAACTCTCTGCCCAGAAACTGAGGGAGGAAATTGCATCTCTGTGCAGAGAGGAGAGAGAAGAGAACCCCGTCTCTGTGTTGAGTCTGTTATTAACCCTCTGAGAGCAAGAACCGCAGCTAGTCCCGCAATTCCATGCTGCTTTGCCTGTGTGTGTGCGTCTGTTTCTTGGGATCCCAAAACAGAGAGTCAAGCTCCCTGATGGGCTGCTCTGGGGTGGAAAATGTCCCCTCCCTCAGTTGCTCTTTTGGTGCTCATTGCTCTGAGTTGGCCTTTAGGAGAAATGCTGGAGATCGTGGTGCTGGGGGCCTGTGGGGTCTGATGTGCTTTACATCATCTAGTACAAGGGTGCACAGACACCATGGGTGCACAAACATGGGCTGAATGCAGGGGTGGAGCACAAACAAGGAAGAATGGATAAAAGCAAGGGAAAGGAAGAAACTGAGTTGTTTTAGTCTTCACTAATATTCTTTATGGAGATCGTACTTGGACTGAAAAAGGCAAACGTAGTTTCTGAAACATAATGATGACCATGGACACTTGGGACCTGAAGGCTTGTGGGAGGCTTAAGGCAACTTCTTCCTGCCAGGAAGATTACTTCGGCATGTGCATTGGCTCTGGAGCCCTTGGGGCCCTGGTCCCCTTCCTAATGTGCTCTGGCAGGAAGAAAAGAGAGAAATCCTACAGAAAGGAAAAACTTAACTTAGACCATGTTAGGTATTCTATTCAGTGCTCTGAAAAATCACAGTTGGAATCTAGATGCTTCTCCAATCCAGCCCCATGTGAAGATCCCGCTGAAGCCTCAAGTACAGCTTGTGTGCCTGTCTTCAGAGAGCGCCCTGGAAGTCCTCCTGTCAAAAGAAGCTGTCCTAGTCAGCATTACTGCTGCTGTGATGAAACTCCATGACCAAAAGCAGCTCTATAGAACAGGTCATCATCAAAAGCAGTGAGGGCAGGAAGCTGGAGGCAGGAGCTGGTGTAGAGGCCATGGAGCATGCTGCTGCCTGGCTGGCTCCCCATGGTTTGCTCAGCCTGCTTTCTTATAGGACCAAGGACACCAGATTAGGGGTGGCATCACCCACAATGGACTTGGCCCTTCCCCATCAATCACTAATTAAGAAAATGCCCTACAGGCTCACCTGTAGCCCAGTCCTGTGGAGACATTTTCTCAATTGCGCCTCCTTCCTCTCTGATGACTCTAGCTGGTGTCAAGCTGGCATAAAACCATCCAGCACAGAGGAGATCACTGTATAAATAACTAAAGTAGGATGAAGGCAGCTCAAGGACTCTGTATAGTGATCCCCTTTCCTGTGGAATCCCTCTTTAACAGGAAGTACAAAATGCAGAGTGCAAAAGGCATCCCTTTCTGGGATTCCCTGTCACTGGAGGTGAAGTCACCACCTGAGCCCTTCTTTTCTGACCACCCCCTGCTGATTTCCTACAAGGCCCTTCCTGCTGCTTGATATTATGAAACAGTTAGGCTCAGTCAATCCTTACCTCCAAGAACTATGAAGGTCACCAAAGTTCATTTACCAAAAAAAAAAAAAAAAAATCTGTGCTAACAGTTCCTCCTTCCATCTTCAATGAGATGTTGAACTGCACCCTCAGATACAGCAGCCTGCCAAGGGTATGTGCTGAGCTCTGTGAGTTTACTCAACTTTTGCCCAAGTGAAAAGGCACATCAAAGGTTCTCCTGGCTCCCTGGGATTGCGCAACTCTGCAGGCTCTGGTGCATAAACAGAGTGGTGCTTACTGCAGGGAAACACTGACTCTCCTTTGCCCAGACCTTGGGCTCAGTGTTGACTTTCTTCGTGGCTGTTGTTTGAGTTTGGAGTGAAAGCTCAGGTCAGGCACTAAAGTGGGGCTTGGTGGAGCTGAGCGTATTTCCTGTTGTGAAACTACATGGAGTGGGGGTGCACCTGTCACTGGATAAACCGCCCTCCTTTCCCAGGGTCCCCACACACAAGAGTGGAGAAGTGGAGAGAGGGGCGCCTGGAGCATGCCAGGAAGTCAAGAAAAGGATAGAGAGGAGTTTTTGTGTGTTCTATACATAAACATTCAGAGTGTCTCCGAATTCTGGGTGAAAAAACAAACACAGATGTGAATCAAGTTCTTATACTAAGGGGCGGGTCATCCAGTGGACAGGGTACCAAGACGCCAAATCAGAACCTCACCTCCACTGCTCCCAATATGACAGCCATTTTATCACAGGACAGCTGGAGTAGATGGTGTCCAGCGTTTGCACTTCTGTAATTAACAAATGATGACACTCATAAAACCATCTCCTCCTAATGCCGACCTTCTATAACACAATAGCCAAGGCCGGATGATTTATGGGGAAAAGAAACTAGTTTCTTACAGTTCCGGGAGGTCCAGGGGCAAGGGGCCTGCAACCTTCTTACACATCATCCAGAGCAGAGGTGGAAGGGCAAGGAAGTTTAGCCAAAGAGAGCGAGCGAGCCACGGCTCCCCCGTTGCTGCTCACTCACGACAAGGCCAGTCTCCCATAACTCCCTCTGTGAGGACACAGCCAGCCCTCAGACCACTCACTTCTTTTCAGATAGCATCTGCTCACACTGTTGCCTTAGGGGTTACCCTCCTGACACATGAGGTTCAGTGACACATTCAAATAGTGCCCTGCTGTGAAGGAAGGACCTACTTCTGGGGCTGTCCACTCCCATTCCCTGGATCAGGACCATGGACTGAGAGAGGCTGTGTGACCCCCAGAGTCAGTGAGCGGGAGGACTTAACTGTGCTCTGAAACTGTGTGGTTTGACTATACCAGCTTGCTCCTGCCCACCTCACCATAGTAGACACACAACCTTGGGAGACTTTGTCTTTATTGTCACTATCTCTCGGCAGGAAGAAGACGACGATGGCTTGCCAAAGAAGAAATGGCCGACGGTAGATGCCTCTTACTACGGAGGACGAGGTGTCGGAGGCATTAAAAGGATGGAGGTAAAAACTTGAACATCTCACAGTTGTCTGTGTGGCCAGCCACCTGGTGACAGACCAGAGCAAATGCTGGTGGTCCATGCTTGAGGGCCAGGGAGAGGTGGCTTATGAGATACGAAACTGGGGAGGTGGCGTGGTACAGCCTTTAGCTGCATGCCTGCATCGTGCCCGCCATGAGTCAGCAGAGGTCACTTGTCTGCCAAACCCCCACCCCGTGGTTTCTGCTTTCATTGGACTAAACCCCACTTCTGCACCCCACCCAGACAGTTCCCCCTCTAACTCTTCCGGCCCATGGCTCCCACTTTCCCGCGCACACTACTTCTCTGGCTCACGATCCTAAAGGGACCGAGGAGCTGGTGGCGTGCACATCCCCCGGCACTCTGCTTCTTAAGGACAAACTGTGCAATCCTGCAACTTAGTTTTGGGGGATTTCACTTCCATTAGGTTCGCTGGGGAGAGAAGGGCTCCACAGAAGAAGGCGCCAAGTTGGAAAAGGCAAAGAATGCAAGAGTCAAGATGCCAGAGCAAGAATATGAGTTCCCGGAGCCCCGCAATCTCAACAACAACATGCGCAGGCCTTCTTCCCCCCGGAAGTGGTACTCGCCCATCAAGGTGTGTCTCTGCCCGGAATCCTTTCAGCTCCCCCTCTTCCCATCGTGAGCCAGACTTCTTTCTTCTCCGTCATCTCTCTCCTCTCAACCCCACCACCAACTCCAGGCCATAATCGACTCTGGCTTCTTGAGAAGTTACAACCCCGGGAGGTGACACATGCAACTAAGCCTTCTGTCACATGGGTGCACCTGGCTTTGAATTCCTGTCAGGGGTGAGCCATCTGCTCTGTGCCCTTCCCCCTTTGTACCTGCACTATGGCAGCCATCAAAACACCAGAAACTTATAGCTAAGGACTCTGCACAAAACCCATCCCAACTCCTGCAGTCTTTTCCCCACGGTTCCAGCTGGACCCACTCCTAGCCTCAGGTAGAAGTGGGAGAACCAGCTAGTAGTCTCCTTTCCCGAGCACACACATGCCTACAGCCTTGACACCTTCCGGAACGTTTTTTTCCTCCTCCTCCTCCTCCTCCTCCTCCTCCTCCTCCTCCTCCTCCTCCTCCTCCTCCTCCTCCTCCTCCTCCTCCTCCTCCTCCTCCTCCTTCTTCCCTTTCTGTGTATTTCTTAGTTTTAGAGCCGCCCTTATACAAATCAAGAGAAAATGTCAGGGTTGGGGAGATGGTTGAGTCTGGAAAGTGATTGCTACATAAACGAGGATCCCTGGAGCTCGCTGGAGCTCACTGGATAAAGAGTCTAGCCAAACCAGCGCACTCTGGGTTCAGAGAAAGACCACGTCTCCAAAAGTAAAGCAGAGAATGACTAGGAAGGACCCACAAGTCAGTCTCTGGCCTCCACATGCACATGCGTACGCTTCTAGATCGACTGAGACTGGACGCACATGCGCGTGCTTCTAGGCAGACTGAGACTGGACGCGCATGCGCATGCTTCTGTAGAAAGTGATCCGACTAGAAGCTGCTGTTTCTCAGCGGAAAGAGCTCAGGCTCACACGAACTCCGGAGCAGTTTCCATTTAGGCTCGTTTAAAGCCATGAGTTTCTTTTTTTTTAGGATAAGCCTCCCCGAGGCAAAGGGTGAGCTGAGGGTGAAGCGCAGCTGACTGGAGGAACGGCTGTTGCTGCTAATTCTTTGCCAGGGAGGAACGTGCAGTGGCGTGCAGACATGTGCAGACAGGAAGGAGCCGAGAGGATCCTCGGAGATGAGCCGAAGTGGGGTTTTCTGTCCTGCCGTTTTCAGGAATCTACCTTGTGACTAACGCCACATCCTTGGTTGTAGCTGAATTTTCATTTCTGGAATCTTCGAGGTTGGAAGGGCATGTTGTTTCTTTCTTAACTGGTGGCTTCAGACTGAGTTTTTGCTAAATGAATCAGGATGTGGACAAATACATTTAGAAATCTGAAAACGTTGCCAGCACCCTCCTGGAATCTGCGTCTGCACAGTGGATCTTGTCAAGTCCCTTGTGGGCCGGGCACAGATACTGGATAGTGGGGCTTCTCAACCCTGTATGAGCCAGGTAACGGTGGGAAGAGGAGGTCAGAATGAGGATCCCAGGCTTGGAGGCCCAGTCTCACAAAAGACCTCCAAGATGCCCCCGAGCCTCGCCTATTTCATCTGCCAGCTCAGAACTACCCCACCTGCCAAGCCTTAAGATTCCACACCCGTCCAATACCTTTCTGTTGCCCCAAGAACTTAATGGCTGGTGCTCCTTCCTCTTTGAGAAAGAGGCTCCCTAAGTTACACAGGATGCCCTGAAACTCATGGCAGAAGGATCACAGGCATGGTCACAGTATGGTCCCCAAACCATCGGTATGGGCTACACTCATGAACTTATTAGAAACACACATTGAGGGATCCCATCTAAGACTGGCTGTATCAGAAACTCCAGCATAGGGCCGGCCCAGAACCTGGGTTTTAATAAGCCCAGAAGACAGGCTGTCACCAGAGGTCACTGACAGCATTGCCTGAGGCAGGGCTGGGTCTCAGAGGATAGGAGCAGGGCAACCTGGGTTATTGCAATGAGCAAAGAGCTTGACCATTTCTCTGTGGTATGTCAGGAGCCTCAGCAAGGAAACCCCAGCTGCATTTCACATCATTTAACACCCACCGCATTGATATAAAGTGACTTGGAATCCCAGTCTTGGAGACACCTTACGGGACAGATGGAGGAAGCCTGTGAGACTGGTGCCTCTTGTCTGGGCATGATTCTGGTTGAGTGAAACAGCTAATGGCAGCCCTCGCACATGCCCGCTGCTAGATAGGAGACGGATGGGTCGCAATTAAAGGAGATTATTAGGTTTATGAGCCTGCTCACTGCATCTCACCCACTGCGGGCTTCAATTATGCTTTGAAGCTCCAGTGAACAGCATGGACCTGACACAGAGCAGGGACTCCACCAGCTCCCACTGAAGAGCTTAAGCATGGGTTATGGCCAAGAAACCACTCCCAAGCCTTATAACGTTAGGCCGCACAGTTCCATTGCCATGCTCTGTCCAGGAAGAGGAGGATATTTAGTGACAGATTTGTGATGGAGGCCAGAGTGCAGAAAGGACGTGAAAATTCCAGAGGAAGAGCCGCTTTTCCACCAGTGATCCGTGTTTAACGTGCACGCTTCGTGCTGAGCCTTTCCTAGCTAAGATGCCGGTGGGCATCAGCAGGACCTCACTAAGTAGTAAGTCCCAGGGGGCGCTCTCTCATGGTGTCTGTCACAGTTCTGCACTGACACAGAAAGCACACTGCAAAAGGTAGGGCTAACAAAAGGTGACCTGGGCTCAGCGGCCCCACAGTGAGGCCACCAGGGACCAGCTACAAGAGGAATTACTACGCCCCTAGGCCTGCAGGGGCCCAGTGACAGGAGTGCAGCCGTCGAGAGCTGTGGCGAAGGGGCAGAGTCAGCAACCCTAATCCACCCCTCCACCTGTTTCCTCACAGCCCAGGAGCAAAAGATGGCTTTGACATTTGTTTCATTTTTAAAAGTGTTATAAGACATATTTTGACCATTCTCTCTCTCTCTCTCTCTCTCTCTCTCTCTCTCTCTCTCTCTCTCTCTCTCTCTCTCTCGCAACTAAAAAAAAACAGTAAGACAAGAAACAAAAGAAAAGGCACACCAAAAGCATGTGCTGTGTTTTGTGTTGGCCAATTTCCAAACCTAGGGCCTGCCCTGGAATGTGGTTGATAGACCCAGTGACATTCCATTAGAGACGTTTTCTGATTTTCCCTTTTCCAGCAGCTATCAATTGCAAATGCTTGTTGGCTAGGGATGGGATTTGTGCCCACTTGCCCTCCTCCATGCTGGAATTTTGGCTGGTTTGAACTTGTCCAGGTCCTGTGTGTGCAGTCACAAGGGCTGTGACTTTGTATGTGTATCAGCTCTGTTGTGTCTGACACACGTGTGAGCTCCCAGAGACTGGGCTTTGACAGTATTAACTGGTTCTATAAGTTCTTTCATACCCTCCTCAGTTTTCCTCTTCCTGAAGCCTCCAGTTCTTTGACCCCTTCTAGAAGGTGTGTATAGACCCCTGCCCTATAGAAATGCAGTTACTACAGGGAGACAGGGAAGTAGGAAGAGGACAGGGGAAACAAACACCCCCACTCACCCTCATCTCACTCTCTCATATCCGTATGGTTCCCCTAGGGAAGCTAGCTGGTGCAGAGGCAAAGAAAGGCACACAGTAGGTGAGGACAGGCAGCTCCTAAAGGATGGTCAGTCCACACTGTGTCCGCTGTGAACAGGGAGACCCCTGCAGCCAGTACAAAACTCAGCAGATCCTGGGGCCATGTCTAGGTCTCCAGCAAATTGGCTGCAATCGTCTACACAAAGAAATGGACTGCAGCAGCCCCACCTTCTTCCTCCGTTCTTGAGAGCCGAGAAGCAGGTGGGCCTGCTTGCTGAGCAGTCCTGCAGGAGCCGAGGGGAAATGGTTCCTCTTCCTGCGCCCCCATCGTATCCCATGCTATATTAAGACACTGACCACACCAACCACACTTCCCCCATCCTCATTCCAGGCCCGTGCTGGGGGAATTTCCCCTGGTATTTAGCTGATTTTCCTTTGCTTGGTTTTTACTCCCTCAATTTACAGCACCCCGTGCTTCTCATTAAACAGAATTGGTCATTTCAGACAAGTTAAGTCATGCCCAGATACATGGCCACCAGCTGGGTTAAAACTAGGACTGACTGCAGACTGCAGAGAAACTGCCCATCTCTCTTTCCAGTAGCTTCTCCACATGTCGGGAAGTGAGAGAAATGACAGCTACAGGGCCAAGCCTTGAAAGACAGACAGGCTGCTCCCTGCGAGTGGCAGGCTGTGAGTGATAGGGTTGTGGATTAAACTATGTTGTATTTCAAAGCATAGGAATTCAGAGCAGCGCTATAAATTGAGCTGTCTTGAAGTTCCCATCCCAGAGCCAAATCCACTATCCCCAAAGAACAGCCAGTGAAAGAAGAAACACAGCAACGCGCTGGGGTGTTTAGAATGGTGATCCACTCCTCTCACCATTATAGAGGCCAAGCTGCAGAGACTTTTACCTGTCTCCATGCATGTAAGTTATCATCTGAGGCAGAGGGACGTGTGCTTGTGGGAGCCCGGCACTGGTAAATTTCCCATTTTATAGTCAAGCTGTGTCAACTTCATATGGAAGAAGCTATTTTTAAATGTCAGCTAACACAGCGCTGGCTGGAGCTCCGGGGTTTGTGGTGGAGTCTTTGTCATAGTTTCACAGAAGCAGCTGGCATTTAGCCTAGGGGATGAAAACCAGAGTCTAAAGCACACGTTGTGTACAAGTTGTGCCTGATGGAAACACCACACACACACACACACACACACATATACAACATACCCCCTCCACATACACACACACACACCCCACAGAAAAACCAAGTACCAAGAGATTAGGTGATTACTTGAGTGAACACTGCTTGTAAGATGGTCTGAGATTTATTTTATTAGCCACCATGCACCCATTTGGATTAGTAGGGAAATCTTACGTCAGCACACACAGAGAAAGAGGACAGGAACCTGAGGTAAAAGACCAGGCAGGGAGTGTTTCACTGACTAAGTGGCATGTGACAAGAGCCCTGGCAACACCAGGGGCTGTGGGAATAGTGGGATGGGAAGAGGTGACCGGGGAGCGGGGGCTTGAGAGCACTCCCAAAACATGGCTGATGTTGGGCCTGAAGCAGTGTGGAGAGGGCAAGCCCATGCTGTATAGCTTATACCTCCATGAACTTAGGGTGTAAAGGGCGGGGCACATGTGGGTAAGAGAGCTCACTCATTCACCATGCTTGCTTTTGGCTCCTGTTCCGAGTCTGTACGTCTCCATCATAACTAAAATTTGACAGGTCATTCCATGCCTTGATCTGGACCTATATAGGTCATGCTGTGCCTAGATCTGGACATCGAGGGAGGCCCAAGATGAAGACAGAACGCATGAAGCCTAAGACTAGATGGGGGAGTCAGGCCAGGTACAACACAGATGGGGCCAACAGGAGCACCATGCCCAAGTCAAACACAGGCAGAGGGGGAGGAACAAAGAGGCGGAAGGGACAACGCAGGAGGAAACAGGTCAGCCCTTCGAAAGCCAAGGCCAAGGGAAAGGAAGGCCCCTGGGAGACAGCCCAGTGATCTCCAGGATATGGATGGGTCTGACCATCAAGATGTCCTGGGTAGCCTAAAAAGAGCCGTTCTGAGGGAGTGGCTGGAGCCAGAGCACAGCTGGGGTGTGATGAAGAGGTGTGCGCCTATGGACGTCCACGAATTGGATACACTCTGACTTACCCTCCTCCATCTTCGTACCAGGGAACCAGTGTCACTCTCATGACTTTACTTTGATGACAGATAGCATGTTATGAGTACTTCTCCTGAGATAAGGAGATAACTTCAATGCTTAATTTATAATTTAATCTATAGAGGAGACAGGAGACAGTATTATTAACTCCCCCCCCCAAACACACACATTAAGAAGAACAAGCCCTGGGGAGTTGGGACAGCTCCGTGTTGCAGGCTGGGGGAGAGAAGGCCCAACTACAGCTTCCCAGGGCACTTGAGCACTCCGTGCTTAGGCTCTGTGAGGCCACCAGCTCCAAGGAGCGTGGTTCACTTTCTCCTGGACTGCATGGCTAAGCTGCTCTCGGTGTGCATGGAGCTTTCCCTTTCTGCTGAGCTCATTAATTCCTTTCTTCAACAGCCACGCTTTCATGCCCTTGTTCCTCATCCGTCAGGGGTTGAGTGATTATCAAATAAGGGGATATAGGTGGGCTGATGCTCCCTCCTAGAAAACAAAGCCATTCACCCACCTAATATCCTGAGCTGTAAGGACTTGTCCCTAAGAACCTTCAAGGAAACACTTAGCTGACACTTAGCATAGCCCTCATGCAATAAACTGTTGTGAGCACAACGCCAGTTCTGTCCAGCAGCAGACTTGGTTTCCTATCTCTCTCAGTTATCATAAATTATAGACTCCAAGAGGTTAAAACAGCACAGATTTATCTCACAGTTCTGAAAGAGAAGCCCATGGGTCTCACTGGGCTAAAATCCTAGTTTGAGCCAGGCTGTTCTTCTTTTGGAGTTACCAGAAGAAAATCTGTTTCCTTGATCCTGGAGGCTGCCTGCACTTAATTGGCTGGAACTCCCTCCCTCCCTAAGGCCAGTGTCCCTGGTTTGGGTCCTCTAAATGAGTCACCCTGAGACACATCTCTGATCCTGGCCTTCTTGTCTCCCATGCTGAAGGACCTGTGTGGCCTTCTGGAGCCACCCTGGGTGGCCCAGGCTGGTTTCTCATCTCCATCATTAGTTGTGCTTTTTGAGGTGCACTTTTATCACAAACTGAGCACTCTATAGCTACTCTACAGCCTGGCCATGGGCCTCCTCTAGAGGCCTTTTGTTATTGTTGTTGTCGTTTCTCCTGATGGGGAGGGCAAGAAATTGTCCTATAGTTGTCATCATCATCTTCTTTTTTCGGACCACCAAGTGGTTAGTGAAAATTGAGAGGATTCCTGTGTGATGTGAAGATACAGCCCCAGGAATACAGTGAGAGCAAAATCCAAGAGACTGGATGTGCCTCACTGTGGACTGACCTTTTCCCCACCTCCATGTATGTCATCTGTGTATCTGTGTGTGTCTCTGTGTATACATATGTCTCTGTATGTGTCTGTGTGTTGTGTATGTATCATGCGTGTGTGTCGTGTGTGTGTGTCATGTGTGTATGTAGGCAGAAGTTGACACTGAGTGTCTTCCTCTGTCACTGTCCACCTTATTTATCAAGGCAGAGTCCCTTGCTGAACCCAGAACTCATGGATCAGTTAATCAAGCTAGCCAGCCTGCCCTCCCGTACACTGGGAAGACTTACCTGTGGGAGACATCTGCACTTGGGTCCTCAGACTTGCAGGGCAAGCACTGTATCCTCAGACTCATCTCCCCAGCCCTATTCTCAGCTCTTAGAATGTATCTCTTGCACTGAGGATGGAGAGTCCCTAACCCATACTCACCATGTCACCTGAACCCTGCTTCTAACATGGCGGGAGGACCTGGAGACTTCTTCATATCTACAGTGGCTGGTTTTATATGTAATCTTCTTACATTTGTTTTGTTTCAGGGAAAACTCGATGCCTTGTGGGTTCTGCTAAGGAAAGGCTATGACCGAGTGTCTGTGATGAGGCCACAGCCGGGAGACACGGTAGGATGTGCTAACGGTCTTATTCTCTCTCTCTCTCTCTCTCTCTCTCTCTCTCTCTCTCTCTCTCTCTCTCTTCACAATAACTGCTCATGTACAACTCCAGCTATTGCTTCCTGTGATGACAAATCAGATGCTAATTTCTTAACTCCTGGTTGTTGCGAGACCTTGTGTTTGGATTTGCTTTTCTGAAAAGGACTTTGACAGCAATACACCAAGTTTTGCTTCCTAGAACTTGAGATTTTCAGTCTAGAGTGAAGTGAGTAACAGTTCCAGGTAGGCTCACAGGCAGCCTCCAGTGGGAGGCCTGTGGTTGTCATCTACACAGAAACATAGAGGCAGCTCCCCAGGAGAGGCCCAAAGGCTGCAGAGAACTCCAGTCATTTGACAATGGGTGTTGGCCAGCTGTCCAGGACTCTAGGGGGATGGGCTCTACTCTGATGGGGTTTGACCAGGATCTATCAGAGGCCAACCTGACGAGCCTCCCACTAGGGGAGTTATACGGGTAGTGCCACCCTATAAAACCAGGCAGCCAGCGTCTTTTCTTTGTTAATGGAGACAAAAGAAATAAATAATGCCCCGTCTTAGGAGAGGTCTCACATACAGGCTCAGAACAAAAATTCTCTATCTCTCTCTCTCTTTTTTTTTTTTTTGGTTTTATGAGACAGGGTTTCTCTGTATTGTTTTGGAGGCTGTCGGACCAGCCTGGCCTCAAACTCTCAGAGATCTGCCTGCCTCTGCCTCCCGAGTGCTGGGATTAAAGGCATGCGCCACCACCGCCCGGCTAGAACAAAATTCTCTTAGCTTCCAGCCACCTGCATCTTCCTTGGGAACCTGTCCCATTTACCCACACACAGAATAAAGGTGTCTCATTAAGGACTCCTTTGAGTCAGGCAGATTGATTGTGAAGTAATTTCCTGGCAAGAAAAGCCTCAGGCAAACCCCCAGCCTCTGTGTTTCATCTTTGTAAATTTGATAATGGTAACCATGTCATAGTACATCTGGCAGGTATTGGTAACCCCTTGTCTGTATTAGTTTCCCTGTTGCTATGATAAAATACCCCAAGAAAAATGACTCAGTGTGGGAGCTAAAGAGAAGGCTCAGCAGTTAGAGCCCTGGCTGTTCTTTCCGGGAATCAGCGTGGCTGCTCACAGCACCTGTAACACACCACGGCCCTCTTCCAGGCTCTGTGGGCACCAGGCACACATGTGGGTGCACTTACATACATGCAGGCAGAACACCCACACACATGCCAAAATAAATAAATAGCAAGTTAGGAAAGAAATCATGTATTCTAACTTGCAGTTTGAGGTTAAAGTCCATCATAGAAGAAGTCATGGCAGCTGGTCAGATTGCACCCACAGTCCAGAAGTGGGGAGGAGTCAATACTAGAGTCAGCTCACCCCTCCTTCTTGTGCAGGACTCAGAGAACTGGGCTGCTCATCTTTAGTGTGGGTCTTCCCGCCTCACTTAACCTAGTCAACATAGTCCCTCATAGCACCTGAGGCCAAGAACCCCCACAGGTGTGCCTGAGACTAAGAACCCCACAGGTGTGCCTGAGGCTAAGAACTCCCCCACAGGTGTGCCTGAGGCTAAGAACCCCACAGGTGTGCCTGAGACTAAGAACCCCACAGGTGTGCCTGAGACTAAGAACCCCCCCACAGGTGTGCCTGAGACTAAGAACCCCCCACAGGTGTGCCTGAGACTAAGAACCCCCCACAGGTGTGCCTGAGACTAAGAACCCCCCCACAGGTGTGCCTGAGACTAAGAACCCCCACAGGTGTGCCTGAGGCTAAGAACCCCACAGGTGTGCCTGAGACTAAGAACCCCACAGGTGTGCCTGAGACTAAGAACTCCCCCACAGGTGTGCCTGAGACTAAGAACCCCCACAGGTGGACCTGAGACTAAGAACCCCCCCACAGGTGTGCCTGAGACTAAGAACCCCCCCACAGGTGTGCCTGAGACTAAGAACCCCACAGGTGTGCCTAAGACTAAGAACCCCACAGGTGTGCCTGAGACTAAGAACCCCCACAGGTGTGCCTGAGACTAAGAACCCCCCACAGGTGTGCCTGAGACTAAGAACCCCCACAGGTGTGCCTGAGACTAAGAACCCCCCCACAAGTGTGCCTGAGACTAAGAACCCCCCACAGGTGTGCCTGAGACTAAGAACCCCCCACAGGTGTGCCTGAGACTAAGAACCCCACAGGTGTGCCTGAGGCTAAGAACCCCCCCACAGGTGTGCCTGAGACTAAGAACCCCCACAGGTGGACCTGAGACTAAGAACCCCTCACAGGTGTGCCTGAGGCTAAGAACCCCACAGGTGTGCCTGAGGCTAAGAACCCCCCCACAGGTGTGCCTAAGACTAAGAACCCCCCACAGGTGTGCCTGAGACTAAGAACCCCCACAGGTGGACCTGAGACTAAGAACCCCCCACAGGTGTGCCTGAGACTAAGAACCCCACACAGGTGTGCCTGAGACTAAGAACCCCCCACAGGTGTGCCTGAGACTAAGAACCCCACACAGGTGTGCCTGAGACTAAGAACCCCCCACAGGTGTGCCTGAGACTAAGAACCCCCACAGGTGTGCCTGAGACTAAGAACCCCACACAGGTGTGCCTGAGACTAAGAACCCCCCCACAGGTGTGCCTGAGACTAAGAACCCCCCCACAGGTGTGCCTGAGGCTAAGAACCCCACAGGTGTGCCTGAGGCTAAGAACCCCACAGGTGTGCCTGAGACTAAGAACCCCCACAGGTGGACCTGAGACTAAGAACCCCCCACAGGTGTGCCTAAGACTAAGAACCCCCCACAGGTGTGCCTAAGACTAAGAACCCCCCACAGGTGTGCCTGAGACTAAGAACCCCCACAGGTGTGCCTAAGACTAAGAACCCCCCACAGGTGTGCCTAAGACTAAGAACCCCCCCACAGGTGTGCCTGAGACTAAGAACCCCCACAGGTGTGCCTGAGACTAAGAACCCCCCACAGGTGTGCCTGAGACTAAGAACCCCCCACAAGTGTGCCTGAGACTAAGAACCCCACACAGGTGTGCCTGAGACTAAGAACCCCCCACAGGTGTGCCTGAGACTAAGAACCCCCCACAGGTGTGCCTGAGGCTAAGAACCCCACAGGTGTGCCTGAGGCTAAGAACCCCACAGGTGTGCCTGAGACTAAGAACCCCACAGGTGTGCCTGAGGCTAAGAACCCCCCCACAGGTGTGCCTGAGACTAAGAACCCCACAGGTGTGCCTGAGACTAAGAACCCCACAGGTGTGCCTAAGACTAAGAACCCCCCACAGGTGTGCCTGAGACTAAGAACCCCCCACAGGTGTGCCTGAGACTAAGAACCCCACAGGTGTGCCTGAGGCTAAGAACCCCCCCACAGGTGTGCCTGAGACTAAGAACCCCCACAGGTGGACCTGAGACTAAGAACCCCTCACAGGTGTGCCTGAGGCTAAGAACCCCACAGGTGTGCCTGAGACTAAGAACCCCACAGGTGTGCCTGAGGCTAAGAACCCCCCCACAGGTGTGCCTGAGACTAAGAACCCCACAGGTGTGCCTGAGACTAAGAACCCCACAGGTGTGCCTAAGACTAAGAACCCCCCACAGGTGTGCCTGAGACTAAGAACCCCCACAGGTGGACCTGAGACTAAGAACCCCCCCCACAGGTGTGCCTGAGACTAAGAATCCTACAGGTGTGCCTGAGACTAAGAACCCCACAGGTGTGCCTAAGACTAAGAACCCCCCACAGGTGTGCCTGAGACTAAGAACCCCCACAGGTGGACCTGAGACTAAGAACCCCCCACAGGTGTGCCTGAGACTAAGAACCCCACAGGTGTGCCTGAGGCTAAGAACTCCCCACAGGTGTGCCTGAGACTAAGAACCCCCCCACAGGTGTGCCTGAGACTAAGAACCCCACAGGTGTGCCTGAGACTAAGAACCCCCCACAGGTGTGCCTGAGGCTAAGAACCCCCCACAGGTGTGCCTGAGACTAAGAACCCCCCACAAGTGTGCCTGAGACTAAGAACCCCCCCACAAGTGTGCCTGAGACTAAGAACCCCACAGGTGTGCCTGAGACTAAGAACCCCCCACAGGTGTGCCTGAGACTAAGAACCCCACAGGTGTGCCTGAGGCTAAGAACCCCACAGGTGTGCCTGAGACTAAGAACCCCACAGGTGTGCCTGAGGCTAAGAACCCCCCCACAGGTGTGCCTGAGACTAAGAACCCCACAGGTGTGCCTGAGACTAAGCACCCCCCACAGGTGGACCTGAGATGCCAGACGCTAATATTCCCCCACAGGCATGCCTTCAAGAGTTCAAGGACAGCAAAGACCACTGTGGCTGGCCATCCTCCTCCCCTGCTTTGTTTTGCATAACCTCAGGACACTCACTACAGATGTGCAGTGGTGACTGCACAAGATTTATGGGGCTGACCACATTTTCCATCAACTCAAAGTCACTCCCACCAGCCATGTGCCTGTGAACAAGAGTCACAGGTTCTGAATTTTCCTAAAGCAAAACAAAAACAAGTCTCAGCCACACTCGGAGCTGCTACAGTGTTGTAACTCTGAAAGCCTGGCGGCTCCTCCTATTGGCTTCTGTCCAGCGCTTCTCCAGTCAACCCACCTGGAAAGACAGACAGGTGTAGGCCCAGCCTACCAGTGCAAGGACTATAGAAACTTGAGCCCATCACCTCAGAGCTGGTCACGCCCCACAGAGCAGATATGACTGCATCCCCACCTGACACCCTCTTTCAGCCCTGGGGAGGCTCACAGTCCATGGTTCCTTGAATCCCACCAGGAAATTTCTAGGTCAGTGTAAATGAGAAAGTGACAGAACTATTTAATAGCAAGCCAGTGCCCCAAAGGGTCCTAACATTTTAAGTTTACTATGTAGGGGTCCCTTGCTGGCAGCAATCCCTGCTTCCAGTAAACAGCCACGGGGCTGCCCTTACTAAAACAAAGCCTTCCTTTTTGACTTCTGACTTGCAAGAAGTGGGGGGAGAGAAGCT